GAAGAAAGAGTAGTGGCCGCGCGGGCTTGGTAACAAACTTAAAATAGCTCTTGTTCTAAAAATAGAACGAAGGGCTGATATGATAGGTACCGGTGATTCCTTCTCTTATCTCATTTTCTCTTGATAAAACTAGTCTAATGTTTACAACGTTGTATATTCGAGAAAGCTCGAATATACATGCAAAACGGAAGTAAATTAAAAGCATCGTTTAATGATGAGTAGTTGTCAAATTTATAAGGCACTATTTCACTTCYGTCACCCCTTACTCGAGGCAAAGATAGAACGAAAACAAGCTTCTAATTTGTTTCCCGTGATTTATTTTCAAGACTTAGTTACCTGCTTATATTTCCTGTTCACGCTAAACGTTAGACAATCTATTCAAGCATCGGTATTTTGAGGTTTCGTGGTTAAAAGAGATTATACGTATTTTCAGAAGTTCATAACTAAACGAATCAGCGCAGCGCATGTTATTTCGATGAATCTGATTGGTCGAGCGTCCCTGCTTGGTCACTTCCGGTGCTGATGTCAATGTTACTAAAATTAGCTCAGAGGTAAAACACATTGGATGCCACCCCAATACCTGATGGACACTTCTAGTTATGAGCTTCTGGTATTTTTCAAAGCAATTTTATTAGATGGGTCCAACCAAAATTTCATCCCTTGTTACTATATTCTACACCATTAAACGTTAATAACTCATTGTGCAAATTTTTATTCAAACACGCTCATCCAATTAACAAATTTAAACGCGTAATGCATGAAGGGCTCCCTGTGGTCATACTCAAGTTAATTAAGTTCATTAATCGCATTCAYATTGACTTCTCCCTGTTCAACTGGTGCCACATTCTCAAGAGAAAAAGAATTAGTGCGAAATCTTCCTGAACAAGGATTGACAAAGGTACATTTGGAAAGCAAGTTKTTGAAATTCTGGCGATAAACTTTAGTGAACATCAAATAAATGAAGAAGTTGTAGCAGCAACTCGAATGRAAAATGAAAATCACAGAGAAAAATAAATCGTTTCCGGCAGCCCATGATAAGCTAATGAGTTTTCCGAAAACTGACAACGAAGTGGCCACTGCAAAGGGCAAAAAGCTTACATATAAGAGGCTGACAATAAGGGCGGACATTTTGAGGGCATTCTTGTTCTGTCGCTCCCTCACAGATGAAGTGTTTCCTGCTTGGCCTGGTACTGTAGTTCGTCGGAGTTTGAAAGCGATACGTAAGTAGAGGAAAGGGATGATAGATAATGGGATTCCAAAATACGTTGAAAATATCAAACAATGATAAATTCTATAGTGCAGGATTGTTGTAATGCCAATTCTTGTGAAATCCTGAATGCATAATGTTGAATTTTCCATCTTTACAAGGATAACAGTAAAAAAATAAATGGAAAACACGGCCTTCGAAAACAGCCAGATCCCTGGGATGATGTACTTGAGYTTTCCTCTGCTCAAACCTCCTCTGAGTGGATGAACTACAGCGTAGAAGCGATCGAGAGCAAGAAACACACAGCTGTAAATCGAAACACTCAAAGAAACGTCTTGGAGATAAGTTGTTAGCTTACAAAGAGCAAGTCCAAAGTTACCATCAATCAGCCAAATAGGTCTATCGAAGATGATATATACGATATATCTTGGTATCGCGAATAAAGGAACGAGAAGGTCACTGACCGCCATGTTGGCAATCAGAATATTGGTCGTATTTCTCAGTCGAATGTCTCTACTTGTTGCCCAGACAATAAGCAGGTTACCAGTGAATGAGACTACAAGTAGGATGCAGTACATCWTTACYTTGATGATCTTTTTAGGAAGAGTGTCTTCGAATCCTGGAAAGCTCGCATTAGCCATGGCTGCAGCTGTTGTATTAACTGTCATGGTGAATTGTAGTGATTTTCCTTTTTGGTGTTCTTCTGCTGTATTATCGTTCTGTTCGATGCTTCCCTGAAAACGTTCTGGTAGTTGGGTAGAGTTTTTCTATCACTKTCTCCTGTAGCTTTGATCGAAGTTGCGACTTATTTGTGGATATATCCAGCTTTTCATTAAAATCCTTCGGAATATAACCAAGAAAGTTATTATTATATCAACACCATATGAAATTAAAGTTAGCGCTCTAAATTCGGAGCCCACGATCTGCCCACGCACAAAACTTTGCTCAAAACCGCGTGATTATCTTCACAATTTTATTGAAGAATTTTTCACGTTTTGAACTTCAACAGGGCAAAATCCTCTTTGTACAAGCGGGACTCTATATTTCCCTTTGGATTTCTCAAAACAGCAGGTAAAAATCAATCTTATAAGAAAACTCGAAAAAAAAAAAAAAAAAAAANGCAATTAACGCCCAGTTCATACGTCGAACTTTTGCCGCGTTGATCGAATGCATTAAAAACAATAGATAATTAGTGTTTATCGAAGTAACAATATTTGTCGAAGTGACAATATTTGTAATGTGATCATCCGGGTAGATTAGGCGGTCTTCTTTGATATCATGTGAAAAAATGTGGGCAGCCATTTTCTTTAGTAAAACCTGAAGGGATTATATTGAAAATATTTTGGATACTGGTATTCTTCAAACTTACTTCCAAAGTTGTTAAATCCCAATCCCACTAAGGGACTGGTCATAAAGTATAGGGGGAAAGGGTATTTTTGAGCTCCTTAAAAGGGGTGGGCCATCAAAGMAATGGGACAACTTTGGAGGGATATATTTTTATTTTTGCCCTTGAAAATAGGGGTGTGTCATGTATTTTTTCAGCAACCGTATGGGGGTGGGTCACACAAAAATAGTCTTCCAGTTATCTGATTTTTGCCCCCCCCCCCCACCCCCCCTATACTTTATGACCAGTCCCTAACTATGAAATTATCATGATCATCAAATATACAACRATACAACTTTGTCTAAGATACAACTTCATATACAACTTGTTAAAAAGGGTAATTTTAAGTTTATTTTAGACTTTTATGAAAACACACACAATAAATCAAAGTTTGGGATACCTGTGTTAAAATCAATAAAAAATGATGTAAATTCTAAACGAATAAAAAAAACTCCTTGGTGGTTTTGTCAAACAGGAAACTACAAAAGGGCGGATCAAAAAATTTGTTAAGAGGGGTTCAATGTTGCGGGGAGGGGGGATCTAAACATTTCCCAGAATCTAAAATTTCTAAGTTTGATTGAAAAGCTTCATGCATGAGATTGAAAAATGCAAACAAACTCTAGCTTTTGCAAGTTTTCTGCAAGTTGTCTGTCTGTCTGCCTGGCTTAAAAACTTTAAAGATCGGTCGGTGTCAAAAATAATCTTTTTTTTGGGAGCTGAGTTAGAACAATCCATAGGAAGGCTATAAACAAAATTTGCAAATAAAWAATTTCTGCATTTAAATCCCATGAAAACCGTGCGTTGTGAGCTGGTAAACTGGAAACCACARAATTGTTATTCCATTGTTCAAGCTTGTCTACAAAATAAATACTGCTAGCAGAGGTTCCTTTTCRTCTTTTTTCTTTAAGCTGTGTTTGTAAGTTACACTAGGCAACTTTCCTTGCATGACTTGCCTCATAATACTTTAGCGCAATACTGAAAAATACACCCAGGATGTTGCAGTTGCATTGTTTCATGCAACTTGCAATTGTATCTTGATAATTTACACGCGATGAAATATCGTTAGCTGTCATACACGCTTTTCACTAAAGCTGCAGCACCAAAATTGCAAGATACTTTTGGAAAATTACCCTAGGCAAATTCTCACCCAATATTTCTCTTTTAAAACTGACACAAGTCGCAAGCAAAATTGCTTAGCGTAACAGAACATTAATGCTTTAAGATATAATTTTTGTAAAACTACAACGACGAAAACATAAGTACACACACACACATACATCTCACATATTCAAATATCTCTTCAAATATCGAGTCGAGTGATATTYGAATATGTGAGATGTATGTGTGTGAATAATTTCCGAACTTTGACTCGTATAATGAGTAACTGTTTACTTCGGTTTTCGTCACAATAT